AGCCTGCTGTCTCCGAGCCCTGCCGGCGACCTGCGCTTCAGCTTCCTTCTCCGTGGCTGCATGGTGCCCACACCCACGACGGGCACCCTCGCCTGCACCATCAGCCTGCGTCCCAGGACCTGGTCCCAGGAAGTCCGGAGGGATGTCTCTGTGCACCTGAACATCATCGGCTCTGGCCTGACTGACAAAGGCCTCGTCCTACCCGCCGTGCTGGGCATCACCTTTGGCGCCTTCCTCATCGGAGCTCTGCTCACCGCGGCGCTCTGGTACATCTACTCCCACACGCGTCACCCTAGCAAGCGGGAGCCCGTGGTGGCGGTGGCTGCCCCGGCCTCCTCGGAGAGCAGCAGCACTAACCACAGCATCGGGAGCACCCAGAGCACGCCCTGCTCCACCAGCAGCATGGCGTAGCACCCGGCCGCAGCCCTCGCCCAGCAGGAGAGACTGAGCAGCCACCCGCTGGGAGCCACTGGCCAGACTCAGCCCCGGACCCCAGCCCTCCACTCGACATAGGACGGACTTCTCCCACCCCCCTTGAGACCTGCTGCCAACAGGGCACCGGCTTTGAACACCTTGGGGTTTCCCCACCCCACCCAGCCCCACCAAACCTTCAAACCCAGTGAGTCTGGGGTGCCACTACCCAAGGCCACCGAGACCACTGCCCTGTGCGCTCACGTTGTTGTGAGAACCTCCGTCCCCGTCATTTTAACGCGGATCCGACACTCGCTGACGGGGACTGGGCAGGAGAGGACTTGAACCAGAACTCAGCCCAGCCCTGCAGCGCTGCCTCAGTGGGGACAGAAGAGGGCCTGGCTGGGGTTACCTGGAACTGGTCCAGCAGTCTCCACACCTGGCACAGCAGGCCCTATGGGGCTCCCAGCCTGGGAGGCTAGAGGGTGGCACACAGTTCCTGCCACCCAGAGACTCCCTCCCAGCCATCAGGTGGACAACAGATGGGGAATGGCCACACTGCCTGCCCGGGACCCGCCCTGTATGCCCACCAGCAATAAACATGACCATGACACCCACCCAGGGCTGGGCTAGATCAAGTGGGGGGCATCAGAGAGAGGGCGTGTTGTGTTTGAGGGTACAAGAGGGACTGGGCACAGTTGGGCTGCTCCTGGCCCAGCCCCAATTGACCAGCCTAGTGGCAAGGGGTGCATCTTCAGGCCCAACAGTAGGCGGCCAGCCCCCACGTCTGGACTGAACCGTCTGCTGCTCACCGGCTTGGCAGCCGATCTCTGGGACCAGGACTTGTGATGAGATGCCGTTGGGTTGGTTCAGACCCACAGCAGCCCCGCGGCCCCCCCCCCACCCCCCGCAGAAGGAAACACTGCCCGGTCCCGTGCCAGCCTCACCATGGTTCCTGTGCCCGAGCCCGTGGGGGCAGCCACGGTGTCAGTCTGTCTCACCGAGGGCCTTCCTCCTTTTTGCTGCCCCTCCCAGGGACTGGTCTCTCCTGACCACAGGGCTGAGAGGTCCTGTAGACACTCTGGCTCTGGGGCTTTGAGCCCAGGTCCCCTGTGGCTCTCTGGTCCAATCCGGCAGCTGTGTGATGGGGGCCAGTTCCATGGTTACTTTAAGCGGGCCACAGGCCACCGCTCTGCAAACGAGGGATACTCAGTCGCCAGGTCTCGGGGGAGGGGTCCTTAAAGCAGGGCCCTGCATGTAGGAAGTGGTTAGCAGGCATCTGTCCAGTCTTGTCATCTCTGAGAGAGGCCAGTTGAGTAGCCCCGGGGGCGTGGGTGTGATGAGCCCATTTGCTAGATGGAGAGACTGGTGTGCAGCCCTCCTCTATTGTTTATGTCAAGAAAATCACAAGGTCCACCAGCTTTTTAAAAAACCACGATGTTAACTACTGTGACCATCTTCGGGCCCCAGGCAGGGGTCCCTGCGTCCCCAGAAGGCACTAGAAGGAGGCTAACACCGGCACCAGTGGACCCCAGACCCGGCCAGGCAGCCCACACAATACACTGGGCTTGAGCCAGGAGACAGCGACAGGGTGGCAGGGACAGGCTGGGTTCTGGGACTGTAAGAACCGTGGGTGACTCAGTGCACAGGGGTGATCTTCCAGGGAGAGACCAAGGCACGAAGGGGGCACTGTGGCCAAGGACACCCCAGGCTCGGACACAGAGGGCCGGCCTCTGCCAGCCACCCGTACTCTAGCCCCTCTGTCCAGGGCCCAGGCCCGTGGGCCCTCGGAGACAGCCAGGAAGGCAGAGGACAAAAGGCACCTCATGTGGGAGTTCACGGCCAGAACACAGGGCAGGTGTGGGAAGGGCCCACCTCCAGCCCCACTGCCTCAGCTACTGGGACAGGGAGGGCTCCAGCAGCTTCAGGACGCCACCCACCAAGTGCAGGCTGCCCGTGACCAGCACGTGGATGGCTGCAGCCTCCCGGAGTACACTGGCCCCACCGTCCGCCACCGGGTGGGTGAGGAGGCCCCGGGGGGAACCGGGTAGCTGAAAGACGGGATCCCGGCCTTGGCTGATCCACTGTAAGGCGTGCGAGATGCAGCTGAAGACCAGGGAGCTGGTGCTGTGGGTGTGAGGTGGGCAGCGTGGCCGCAGCAGGGATGAGGGGCCACCGGGCTCCGGGCTGGGAGGCCTCCAGTGGCCTGGGCTGGCCTGGTCCCCGGCCAGGGTGCTCCAGTGCTGCTGGTGTTCTAGGCAGCGAAGCAGCACCTGGTCCAGCGTCACGGTGAAGTTCTGTTGGTCTGCAGGGCGCAGGGAAAGGTAGAGTGGAGATGACGATGAACCTAGTCTTCGCCAAACCCTTCCTGCGCTTCATCTAAGCGCCCCTCCCTAGTGGTCCTCACAGTGGAGAGTCTGAAAGAAACTGAGGCCCACAATGGTTCAATGCCTAGCCCCAGGCCACAAGGCTGGTGAGCAGGAGAGCTAAGCCAGCCAGGTCCAGAGATGAGGCTCTGGCCCACTGACCATCACAAGTCCACCACGCTCACCTCACTGCCTTCATCTGTAAAGATGGACAGCTAGGAGCAAGCCCTGGGTGTCCTCTGCTCACCAGATGGTCAGGAGTTCAAACCCACTAGCTGCTCAGGGGAAAGATGAGGTTTTCTGCTCCTGTAAAGAGTTATCCTCAACCCATAGGGGAAGTTCTCTCTGGTCCTGTAGGGCTGCTACGAGTTGGCATTGACTCAAGGACACTGAGTTTGGGAGCGGGCTCTGCCCACGCCAGGGGTAGTATCTCTAGAGAAGCTGGTTAAATCCGCACACTCCTGGGCTCTCTCCCCCATGACAGTCCGATGTAGGATCCAGGGCACTGTCATTTTCTTAATACCAGTTCAAACTCCTGTGACCTTGACCCACAGGTGAAAAAGGGCAATTTCATATTGTGCTCATGACTCTTCTGAGGACCCACGAAATGATGGATGTGAACAAAAGGTGCTGGTGGGAAAGTGGAAAGCAGGCATCTCCACGTCACACCCGAGTGCGCGTGCATCACCGCGTGTGCGTGCACGTCTCGCGAGAACAACTCCGGCGCCAGGACCCACCCGACTCACACACTTCGCTGACGAGGGCACGTGCGAAAGTTTGTGAAAATTATCCAGTTTCTTCCCACTCCATCTTTCCCCCAACTTTTTGGACATTCCCTCAAATTTTCTATTCTATTTGATTTAAAGCAAAAAATGGTGGGCGAGACCCTCTGCATTGGTTTAAAAAAAACCCATGGGTTATATATACCCTGCATTTTAAAAACTGTTCTTGCACATCACCCTTGGTTTAGTACCACAGCCATGTGGCACAAGAGTAAAAAAATACCAAAGGGCATATTTAATTTATACAACCCACTGGACCATCCCCCACCCCCACCCCAAAATCTCCCACTGTCACCAACACAGCTGTCTGGGCCCTCAGCCACCTCACCTGCGTTGCCTGTGGACGACACCTCTGTCATGTTGGGGCAGAAGACAGCATAGTCAAACTGGCAAGGCTGGAAGGTCAAGGGGGCCAAGAGGGTGTCAGAGGCCAAAGACTGTCCCCATCCCAGCCTTTCACACGGGGCCCACCTCTGGAGACGTCCCCAGCCCTGAGCCCAGGCTACATTCGTCCAGGCACCACCTTCAGTTCCCAACCACGACCACCTGGCAGGGCCCATCGACAGGGCCCGCTACACAGATGGGGGAACTGGGGCTTTGGAGGGGGCCGACTTGCTTGAGGTCACCCAGCTGGTGGGCAGACCCCAAAGTAGGCTGGAGAAAAGGCTCTGCCTGTACAGTGGGCGATGGAGAAGGCCTGGGCCTCACAGTCCAGGGGCCTCGGCTTCCCCAAGCTGCGGAGGCCTTTCACACTTTGTGCATAGCCCAGGGCGCTCTCGAAGCTCACTGCAGAAGCAGCACCCTTAGCAAGCGCACTGTACAGAGAGGCAGAGGGAGGCACAGGGAGTGAGCCCTCCCTTTTCCCCAGGGTCATAGGCAGTGATGACACTTGGGTGCTTCTACATTTACTCCTCAGTACAACCATAGGAGGGGGCAGTGGGGGGTGACCCAATTTACAGTGGAGGAAACCAAGGCTCAGGATGAAGATAATGGCCCGAGGCCAAACAGCCAAAGACCCAGACTACCCACTGACATCCCAAGAGCGGGCCCTCACCTGCAGCAGCTTCAGAAGGGCCGCCCGGTCCCGGTCCCCAGTGGCATTGAAGAGCAGGACTCGCACCTCAGGCCCGCTGTGGGAGAAAGGGAAGGTTCAGAAGGCACCGGCAATCCTATGGCCCTTCCGGCCATGATCCCTTATGTGATGAATCAGGGTTTCACACACCTGTATAAAGCTCATTTTGGGGGGAAAAGGATGTGATTGAGACCTGACCTTACTTAGTAGGGGCTATGAATCAGACTGCACTCTTTGTTTGATGGTTATCCTGGCTACTCTACCTGTAATGGATGCAAGGAATGATATGCTACAGCTGAGAGGAGGAAACACCTTGTTTCTGGAGTGTCCTGGGACAAGCCTGGCTGATTAAGGTCAGTAAGAGGCCAAGGCCTACTGGACACATCCTGCCCAGAGCCCCAGGCCGTGTGTGCACTCAGAAGGGGTGGAGCACAGTCCAAGGGTGGAGGGGAGATTCTATTCAGATGAGAAAGTCCCGCAGAACGACCTTTCCCTGCGTAGGTCTGGGAAGCAGATGGGGGGGGCGATACGGACAGCATTCCAGCAGGATGCCGCACAACCTCACCCTGCGTGTAGAATGAGTGCTCTGAGGCCCTGGGGGGGTGAGCGCAGTGCCCGGAAGGACCAGGAGTGGAGCGCAGGCTCCGGCCCCAGCACCCGGCTCTCCCCTGCAGGACCTGTGGATTTTGGACTGAGCAGCACCCATCACCGTGTGAGACGTTTCCTCAGACCTGGATGAGTTCTGGGGACACTGCAGCGATTCGCAGAACCGTGCGGGGAAAACACTCAAGGGAGGAGGAGGACGAGGAGGAGGTGGGCGGGGAGGATGGAGCACACTAGCATCTTGGAAGAGTTGGGCTCTGGGGCCTTTTCAGTCTCCAGTATTGAATCTCACCACAGAAATGATGACCACAGACACGCCCCACTCGGTTCTTTTCAGAGCCCGCCCCGCCCCGCCCCCCAACTCCACCTCTCCACTACCTCTCCTCCCAGACCCCACCCACCCACAGGGCTGCCCAGCACTAACCTGCTCAGCCTCTCCTGACCCCGCAGCACCTGGCGGAACCAGCGCACACAGGCCTTCACGCTGCTGGCGGTATGGGCTCCGTCCAGGTACCAGGTGAGGGGCCCGCGCCGCAGAACCTGATTCCGACCGGGCCACTCTGTGTCTTGAAGCCCTGGATGGGGGGGGAGACAACCCTCTAGTCACCGCCAGAACGCCCTCCCGTGACCTCTCCCACCCTAGTGCCCCCTTAGCTCGAAATCCAAAGCAGGCTCCCCCTAGTCCTCAGCACCCACTGCTCAAAGGCTGCCCCCTACTGGGCACCACTCAGTAAGCTCTTCAGCTGCTTTATCCGTGAAATCTTCCAGACCACTCTGAGAGGAGACTGCCTGCATCCCGGACTCCCATTTTACGATTGGAGGACCCTTCGCTCCGAGAGTTGGGGAGGAGGTTGGGAGGTGGGCTGGACTGGCATCTGAGATCTGCCTGGTTCCCGAGCCTTATCAATAAGCCTGGACACGGGGCCTGGCGCACCCCAGGTCCACTGACATCACGTGCTGACGCTGGAAGCTTGGGAGATGCCAAAGCCCATGACGGGGCCTCCAGAGCCTCTCGTGTGGCCCATGAGGATGGTGTAGAGCGACAGCAGGCACAACCGACCCTGGCCGGGCGCTCTGCCCCAGAGCCACCAGGCTCTGCTGGGCGCTGCCCCTTCCTGACGCCTCCCCAGCCTTGGACGATACCCATTAGGATCCCACTTGGCAGATAAGGAAACTGAGGCTCGAGGACAATTCAAAGGGACCCACCCCTCCTCTCAAGGAAGGAACTAAAAGAAACCCCGAAGGGGCCCGAGGACTCAAGGCAGGGCGAGAAGAGGGCCTCACCATGCCGCATGTGGGAGGTGGGCCGGAACACGGGGGCCAAGGGCAGCTGCTGCAGGAGGCCTGAGCTGGACGCCTTCAGCTCCCCGATGCCTGTGAGGGCACAGGAGTGAGACCGGGTGGGCGCAGGACATTCACGGGCTGGCTCCCTGCCCGCCCACTCCCTGGCCCACTCACCTGGGGAGTCCTGCTGCTGCAGCCAGCAGCGAGCCAGCTGCAAGGCCAAGGCGGCATTGGAGCGCTGGTGCTCCCCCTCCAGGCCCAGCACCAGCGGTGGCTCCCCTCCCTCTAGGGCTTCCAGTGGTGGGCACACATAGAGAGGACACTGCATGGGTGACAGAGAGCAGCACCCCTGCTGCCTTGACAGGAGCTCCCATCCTCCCCCACCGACCGAAGCCCACCCAGGCCTGCTCCCTGCACCACAGTGTGGCCCAGCTCCCTTACTGCACAGAGGAGCCAGCTGAGGCCAGGAACTGTCTCCCCGTGAGACTCACCGAGACCTGCTGGGCTCGGTCCTTCAGCACTGCCAGGGGGCCATCGGGCTGCAGCACAGTGAAGGCTGGAACGCCATGCTGGGGGGGGGGGGGACAGGCTGGGGTGACCCAGGGTCCTTCAACTCCGGCCCCACATCCTGAGTGTGGACCGCCCAGGCTGCCGCCCTCCACCCCCAGGACCACGGGAAGCCCTCGTGCCCCGAGCTATGATGTGGACCCAAGTGCCAGAGAGGACGCTCAGTGTGCCCCAGTAACCCTGCCAATGGCCAGGACCTGGTCCCGAGGATGCCTTGTTAAAGTCCTGCTTCCCTGAGCCCCAGGGCCAGGCCCAGGGTTCCGTGTTCCTCCCCTCAACCCAGCCTGACCAGTCACCTTGAAGATTCCCCCTTTCTGCCACGCAATCTTCTCCACTGTGTCCCCCAGAAGGCTGGTGTGGTCGATGCCGAGGGAGGAGATCCCACACACTACAGGCTTCCTGGGGAAGATGAAAGGGCCGTGACCCTCTGCAAGGGGTGAGGCCTGGGCTCCCAGTAGCCGACCCTCACCCAGGTGGCTCCCCTTACCTGATGATGTTGGTGCAGTCGTAAGCACCCCCAATGCCCACTTCCACCACCGCCAGGTCTACCTGCCAAGGACCAGAGGTTCTGCATGACAAGGGGTGTGGGGTGCCCCGGGAGGTCCCCCCTCCCAGTTTGTTGAGGGTGCTGGGAAGCAGACACTCACTTTCTCCTGGAGGAAGACGTGGAAGGCCATGAGGGTGAGGAAGCGGAAGTAAGCGGGCATGGAGACACAGCTGCCGTCCTGCAGCACAGGGACAGATCAGGGACTGCGGACCCTCAGGGATGTGGGGTGCTCGGACATCCACCACCCACACCAGCGGCCCCTCCCGCCCGCCCGCCCCAGCACTGCAGCAGGAGGCACCTTGGTCTCCTCCAGCCGGTGGTACAGATGCCAGAAGTGCTTGGTGAAGAGCTCAGGACTGATGGGCTGCCCGTTGATGCGGATCCGCTCTCGCACCTGCACCAGGTGGGGAGAGCTGCCGGGAGAAGGGATCATTGGGACTCCTCTCCAACGCCCCCGCCCCCCACCCCAGGACCTTTGACATGTCATTCCCCTGCTGGCCTTAAGCGAAACCCAGCCCCTTCCCACGGAAGGCCTCTCCCCTCTGCTGCCCATCCCGGACACTCGGACATCACAAGTAAACCAACTGCCAGCAATCTGACTCCAAGTCATGGTAACCCCATGTATGCCAGGGTAGAACCCTGCTACATAGTTTCAGAAGTAGATCACCAGGCCTTTCTGCAGAGGTGCGGGGGCGTGGGGCTCAAGCTTCCAAGCAGCCGAGCACAAGAAGTGTTTACACCACCCAGGGGCTCTAAACTCACTGTCACCGAGGCAGTTCCGACTCCTGGCCATCTTTAAGGCCAGGGTAGAACCGCCCCTGTGGGTTTCTGAGATGGTAACTCTATGGGAACAGAAAGCCTCGTCTTTCTCTCACAGAGCGGCCGGTGGATTCGCCACCACGACACCGCCAGGACTCCTAGAACATCAGAAACTATCAAGCCAGGTTTGGGGCTTTTTATCCCAAAGACATAAAGGCATGTTCATTTCTCTGTGACTTAAAAATTGCATATGGAATTTAAATTAATAAAAATACCTCAATATGAGTGTTCCCAGCGACACCAAGGGGGCTTCAAAAAGCACACGGGAAAAAGTGAGATTAAACGATCACAGAAATGTGATAGCTGATGGTGCACTGAGGGGACTGCACCGGATGGCTGGAATAAAATGTGCACGAGGAGCTCTGCTCTGTAAACTTCCAACCAATTCACAACAATAAGGGTTTTTTAAAAAGAGTGCTGGGATTTTCCCTCTACGACCTTTTTTGAAATCCCCTTGTACTTTGTGGATATATTCAGCTATCTTTCAGCTTTTCTTCAAATTAAAAAAGGACTGTCAGAAACTTGGGCCAATAAAGTAAGTGCTAATTGGATGTTAGTTGAGGGAGTCAGCACCAGCGGTAAAGGCGTGCTGTGGAGCTCCTGGGGGTAACCGGCCCTGCATTGCTGACAGATTCTAGAGCTCCCCAGAGAGCCGGGACATACCACAGCGCGCGCGCGCGCACACACACACACACACACACACACACACACACACACACACAATACCTAAAGAATCCCGTCTTTAGGCCGTAGCTTCGCAGGATCCGCTCAGTGAAGGCACATGTGGAACCCTGAAAAGAGAAAGCATTGTCTGAGCAGGCCTGTCCCCATTGTGCCCCCAAGTGGGCACCCTTGGCCCAGGGCCTGCCCCCTACCTTCCCCTTGGTCCCAGTGACGTGGATGATGTTCAGCTTGTCCAAGTCCTCCACCTGACACAAAGACAAAGTCCTCACTTGAATCACGGGAAGGGCAGGCAGGGAGGCAGATGGGGTGTGAGGACAGAGTCACAGGCCCTGGCCCAGCCCTGCTTACCTGCAGCCCGCTCCGTGCCAGGTACAGCACCATTGCTTCCAGCTGTGCCTGCGGGTCGCCCCTCTGTCGCTTCACCTGCTCCAGGTACCCAGCATTGGTCTGCAGGGTGTTGAGTGTTCGCACAGCATCCTGGCAAGCACAGTTCCCAGGTGGCAAGTTAGGGCTTGGTGGATACAAGGTACTCGGCACCCAGCCTGTCACCCCAGACTACAGGTCAGGCAACGGGGAGACAAGAGGTGGCATCTTTCCATCTCTGGCAGAAATGGAAGCCTGAGGCAGCTCAGCCCCACCCAGGGAGTTCCAGGCAAACCAAGTGGCATGACAAATTAATAAGGCTAGCCTGGCTTTCTGTTTAGGGTCACCACCCTGGCCCTCATCTCCAGTGAGGCCCATCTCCGAAAGCAGGGCACTGACTGGGGAGGGGGCCAGGGTACAGGAAGTAAGGGTGTGGTTGGGGGGATGGGCAGGAGACTAGAGTTCTGTTATTCATAAAGGGCTATGGGGTTCTGAGCCTGCCTGAGGCCATCAGTGGAGGAAAAGGGGAGGCTCAGAAGGAGGGTGTGCCCAGGGTCACCCTGCATCCGAAGATTTTACACTGGGGGTCAGGGCGGGGTGCTGTTTATTTCCCTCAGGCCTCTACGCCAATCTGACCCTGGAGACCTCAACGTCTGGCTAGTGGGGGGTCCCACTCCCATCCACCAAGTGCCACCTCCCTGCTTCTCCCATCCCCTCTAGCAGCTGGCCCCAGGCACAGCCGCCTACGGAAATTTCCCATTTTCCAAAGCTTCGGGGCTCCCCACTGCCCCAGATTCCTGCCCGCCCCCAGTTCCAAGCAGTTGGCACCGGGTCACCCGGTCCAGTCACGGGAGCCCCTTCGCACCGCCTAGTGTTGCGCACCTCGGGCTCGGAATGCCCGATCGGCGGCCCGAGTCTGCTTTCCAATCCCTTATCTCCACCCCCAGACCCCAGGGGA